CGCTCTTCCTTCTCGAAAGCAAATGTGGAGCAGAGCTTCGTCCCGATCGTAAATGCTCCCATAGAATTTCATTGAGCGGGCCGCATTAGATGCTCGCGATCCCTCGGAAAACTATGAAATCCCCACTGTGCTCGAGAATCTACAAAATTCCATCGCGTTCGAAAAATCTAGAAAATCCTATCGGGATCGAAAAATTTACAGGAACCCATCATGGGCGTAGCCAGGTTATCAGTTAGGGCGAAGGGGGAGCGGCAAAAATATTAACACATTGACTGCCACAGTGAAAAAGGCTGTACGTAGCCAGACGCACTTTTTTTTGTTTTCAAAGTCATAAATCGTTGAAAATGTATGCGTTTTCTTAATAGAGGCTGTTGGGGGTGTTTCAAATTATACTACAATATTAAATATTACGCAAAAATTTTATAACTCTAGGAAGGGAGGGGGAGGAGCAAAATCCAATTTTTGTTCTTGTAGGGTGGGACAAAAGCCACTTTTTTCTATGCAGGGGGGTGCCTCCCCCCTGCCGCCCTTGGCTACGCCCATAGAACCCATCACGATCGAGAATTTACAAAGGTCACCGATGACCGACACAGAACATTATGTTCACACCGTGCCGGTCACTGGTGACCACCACGTAGTTTATGTTTTTTTTTATGTTCACGTCGCGTTGGTCAACTGTGATCGATATGTATAAATTCTCGTTCACACTGTGTCGGTCACCGGTGACCGCAATGTAATATAAATGAAAATGACAAATAATACATTCAGCGTGAACAAGAAGTCATTCGAAATAGGTTCCACGGTGAACATGTTAACACATTGAATGCCAAAGTTATTACTCTTTAGAGAATGTGATGGTTAGAAACGTTTGTTTAGGTTTTTGTTAATTAACAAGTATTTACGCGTTAACTTAAGTACTCATTACTAGACTGCGGATGTTTATGCATTTATAATACAGTAAATCCTCGATGAGAATTCAAAAGCTCCTCGACATTAACAAGGAGAGGTTCCCAGGTGTAACGCTGACTTTTTAATAAGGTTTAGCACAGTGAAATAGCAGGGAATTTTGAAGCCAATGATATTTGTTTCAACCGTGTATGGGCATTAGTTTATAAGATATTTAATGTCCAGTGCCGAGGAGCCTGCGAACACTCATCGAGGATTTACTGTGAAAAGTTTCAGAAAATTCATTCAGGTTTTCTTACTATGTCGAATCTATTAGAATCCTTAATGGAGTAAATCGATTGTCCTTTGTATCCACTTTTGAAAAATTAATCCATACAATTCTAAATTTGCATAAATATCCGCAGTCTACTCATTAGTTTCGCCATTATTATACTAGTAATTATATTAAAAGAAAGTTAAATGTTCCTGTTTAGAAATTCAATTTTCCTTCGAGTAATTTAACGACATCGGTCATCGATGTCTATTATGACAGTGTACGTGTTAAGGAAACCAATTTGTATGGAACATCGAATAAACAGATTCCTCTGTGGGGAAATCGAAGGGGGCGGGCAGGGGAGGCTTCGCGTTCGGGGAATCGTGAAGGTAGATAAGAAGGAAGTTTTCGAGTCTACTCACCGGCGCAACTGTATCCATTTTTATGAAGAATATAGCCGTCCCGGCAGTCACACTCGTACATCCCGTCGTGAAGATCGTAACAGAGCTGCTCGCAAGGCGATCCGTGCCCGCATCGTCCTGAAATGCAAACAATTCGTTGCGTGAGAAGACTTATTTGCGTACCCGGAGACAAACGGACACGCGTTGTAACCAAGACTGTTCATCGTTGATCTTTCGATCGTTCAGGCTTTGGGTATGTTTCCACATATTTGGACGACGACATTGTTTGGAGGAACCCAACCCTTACCGTGAAGTTGAGATTTTTTTTTAAATTGTGGTTTTGGTACTTTATTTTCAACTGAGTCACCAAGTACGCCACCACTCTGGTCTAAGCCCAGCTATTTGCTCGCAACTGTCCCTGTCCCTGTTCCACCTAAATGGTCATTACCTTCCTCCGTTATTGATGATATTGTTTCGTGGGACCACCCGTACTGTAAAGTACAGATTTGTGGGTAAAATTGTGGTCTTGATTCATTATTTTTAACTGATTGTGAGTCACCAACTACACGACCACACTGGTCTAAGCCTAGCTATTGGCTGGCAACTATCCCTCCCCCTGCCCCACCTAAATGATTAACATTTGTTTTTGTTTATAGTTACTAACTCGACAGGTTGAATAAGATTCTCTAGTGATTGTACAATTCAATCCTCTCTGTTGAGGATTGAAAGATGACTGCTTATTTGGGTTGGTTGTCTGTTTGCTAAAGGTACCAGTGGCCAATATTTTTTTCTTGAATCGTAAGTAAATCCCCCAGTGGACAGTGAACGTTTGCTAAATAATAATATAAACGTTCGCATTGACTAGTAATTTATATACGCTAGGTCAATGTTAACCCTTTGACGATCGATTTATGACACAATTTAATATTCATTAACAAAACCCCACTAAGTGTTGAAAGCTTGAAATTTTCTCGTAACTTCGATAAGTTAATTGATTCAAATGTTCATCCTATACAATCTGACAGGTTATTAACTTTTACCATTGTCCAAATCTCCTGCAGAAAACTCTCCGCAACCCAAACGATCCTAAAACACCAGTCTTTACCCATCCCGCTGGAATCCTCGTTTTATCGATCATATTCGACCGACAAGTACTCCATTGTCGTCGAAACAACCCAGGAAGAGTCATTGTTTAAAAACTGTCTCGTCAAGCCATTGTCCCTAACGAGCCTTCAACGCACGATTAATCCTATTCTCGGGTCCTTCGGGTCGAGCTTAAGGCTGGTCCAGAATCCACCGGTTGGATCCGAGAGCCGCTTTAAGACGCTCGCTATCGGCCGATGGAAACTGCCGGAGGCAATCAGGCCCGAACGGTAAGAGGATATAGAGCGTGCCCGTTACGACCGTCCAGGAAATTGTAATCCTGCAGGATGTTCGCGGTTAGGCGTGAATTATTCCAGCGTGCTAGAACGGTCGCTTTGTCGATCGGGGCGTCTCGCGCGCTCGTCGCGTGGAAAATCCTTAAAGCTTCCCGCGCGGAACGAGCGACGCTGAGCCAGCATTCCCCGACGGGGCTGTAGAATAATTCAAAGATAAATGAACCCGCTTTCTCTACCCGCGATTCCCGATGATACGGTTAAAAACGGACAGCTTTACCGTTCCCGTGGAAATTACGACCGTTTCGACGGTGATTTAATAAACGCCAGACAGATTGACGGACGCTATTATTGGGCATAAGAAAATATAATTATAGCTTTGAATGGGGTGAATCGTGGGTACGTTTATCCTGGATCAATTTATCCCGGGCATCCAGCAAAATGTCCGGGTCTTTTGACCTTTGTGTACCAGGCTGAACGAACTTTGTGTAATGTGGTAATTGGTCCGCAACGAAATCGAGTGTTACGGTAATCAATGTTCGTTTAATATTATTTATCGAGTGATATTATTGTTTAAGTGGTTACAAGATGACAATGGGTACAATGCGCACTTATCTAGAAGAGAGTAATGTATTTGCAGGTGAGAAATAATAGATAACTACCAATATGCTTCGTAACAAAGTGTATTAATTACACATAGATTGCTGTCAGCACATATTAGGATATCTCTTTTGATTGATTTTACACTGATTACACACTTTCCGTCAATTTTATTATTTCATAGTGGCAAATATTAATTTTGCTACCAAGCGTCATCCAATATTTTCTGTAATTCGGAAGGACAACGCCATTATAGAGGGCAGTGTTTGCAATTTTACAATGAATTCATTGGCATGCTACTGACGAATTCATGATATACCCCATATGTCCAAATTACATAAAACACCTTAGGCTATATATAGGACGACAAGGTTGTTTGTCGGTGCTACAAAATCTTCCACAGGTAAATGTCGTCTATTATTCGGAAGAAGAACAGACTACCCTTTCAGGACTAATAAATTGAACTGTATTTAATAATTATAATGTAAACTCTTTACAAGGAGAGCCTAATTGCTCTTCCAAGCTTAATTGCTTGGTTTTTATGTTGAGACTCTCAATGCTGTCAAATATTTGACCTAATTGTCCACTTACAAAGGAAGGCACGGAAGTGTTCCCCTCCGATTTTGATGAAACTTCGTATGTCTGTTAAGCAGTCAAAAATAAGGGATACGAATTTTTTTTATCGGCTGAGACGCGACTTTAAGGGGTGAAACCACCCCTCGAAGTTTCGACCCGAAAGTAATATCTCGAAAACCAAAGATATATGAAAACTTCTAATGGACGAGGTTTGCGGTTTTTTATGTAGAATAATATGGTGCTAAAAAATTGTCCAAAACATAATTTGTTTATAACACAAAAATTTCAGATCGAAACTTCGAGGGGTAGTTTCACCCCTTAAAGTCGCGTCTTAGCTGATAAATAAAAATACGTATCCCTTATTTTTGACTGCTTAACAGACATACGAAGTTTCATCAAAATCGGAGAGGGACACTTTAGTGCCTTCCCTTGTAAGAGGTCCAACCTGACTGTTGCAACCCTTCTAAACTGTATAGTAAGATAAACGTCCTGGCTGACGTCTCTGATCTATCTGTAATTCTCTATAAACTCTACTGAATCAGATGCTGTTTCTGAACTCTGAACTGAACTGCATATAAAATTCTACATGGCCTCTTTTCCCTTCCATTTCGCCCTAAACGCGCCTTCCCTGGAGGGGGTGCGTGGCTGGTGTTATGCACAATATCCTGCATTGTGCCTAACGTTGCCAGAAGTTCCCAGGCCAATTGCCGAATCTGCTAAATGTCACAGCTTGACCTGGCAAGTCCCTTGGTTGTTTATGGGACGGTTCCTGCGTCTTCTATGCCGTCGCCTGCAACTTGGATCCACAGGAAACCATCCCCGCCATAAATTTAGCGTTTGCTCTAACACCTCGAATGATATATTAACGTTATGAAGACCTATACAGTTGCGTCATATCAGAGTTGGGCAGAATTTTATTCGAATAATACACATTGAAAAGCAGCAGTATCTAAAGGTGTCGTTCTGAGCTTTAAACAGTCATTGAGATTAAATAATTGCTCGACAAATGTCGATTCATTCATAAAGCAGTTTTATTTTATTATAAAAATTGAAATTTCCACATTTAAACAATTAAAAATGACGAAATACTTTTTTTATCTTTCATTCGTTATTCGAAACTTTTTATCTAGATAATGAGCTTGCCCATCTCTGTGTCATATGAGTACCAACTTGTTGATGGCCGATATCGCAACATTCAGTTATTCAAAATTATTGGACTCTTTAACATACATAGCCACAACCACATTTTGTTAATTCTCAACACAAACCACCAGCCACTGTTGAAAGTTAGAGGAGATGGTCTAAATATGGGCTAACACATTTACTTCAGAACTTATTGCCAAACCTGTTGAAGATGTCTAAAATGTAAGACCTGAAGTAGAGGAATTAGTGTAATGTATCTAAAACATGTTTACTTTATGATATGGCGTTAAAATAACTTTCTTTTGTTCTTGACTCGTAGTTTCACAATATTCCCGTTGTTGTCAAGAACCTATCATGACTTTATAGTATAGGGCCTGTACCTTCAACTAGCCTATATTTAGACCCTTGCTTCTATTTTGACTAATTCTTTTACTCAGGAAAATAGCTGATCCTCATGGTGTCAATACGAAGAAAAGTGTACGACAGAAAAGAACAAAGATAATAAGGACAAACGCAAATCGTAACTACATAAGAATTTTAGCATCTAATCTTTATTTTGAGACTCTGCCCGAACATAGCACCGTATATCTCTATCTCTCGGTAACCTATACGAACTGCCCGTACGGCAGAAAGTATGTTCGAACACGGAGAACTCGGAAAATATCATCCCTGCTCCATAAGCCCCGAGATTACCCCTGCCCTGGCTCTCGAAATTAAATTACCCCCTAAATTCTCATTTCAGCGAGTTCCACATGACGTCCGCCTCGCAGACGTTCGAGATCCACCGCGATGTCGGCGAATTCTGTTTACACGCAAGACCGTTGTTTTCCATAGTTCGAGGATGCTTTCCAGGCGCCAGAAGAATCTATTCGAAGGACAACGAGCCGCGCTAGCGCCTCGTAAATCCGGGAAGTGAAGAAAAATGGACGACCACGTGAAGACAAGCCACACACAGTGCGTTGCCTATGCGACAAAAATAGGAAAACCAACTTTGTTTGGTATTAATGGACCTCTTGGGCGTGTTTGGGGATAGTTGTTAAAATTAGAAATACAGATTAGTATATAAATGGACGAGTCTCGATCTCATATTGGAACACTTTGTTTTCAAAACAATGGAAATGTCAGTACAAGCTTCGTCTTTTAATCAAGTTACAGTTTCGACACTGTGGGGGAAATAATAATTTACATTTTCAATGGAACCTGTTGTTGGAGATAAGTACTCTTTATTTTGATATCGGTTGTTTTCATTGCTTCATTTTCTTAAAGTTGCATCAGTCATTTGAAGAGGCCTATTTTAGCTAACCTCGATCACACTTTTCTAAAATACTCTTCAGTATTCCTTCCTGATATTGACTGAAAATTTTTGTAGATATATCCTGTGAAATATCACAGACCAATTGGCTGCACCCACTTGCCGCTGTATACAGGGTGTCCCAAACGTGT